ACCTTATAAACTATCAAGACTTATCAGGTTTGGTCGATTTTATTTTTAGAACAAAACCTAAACCTAGTTGGATTAGGAATTTCAAAACTAGGGTTTTCAAACAATTCATCAAGTTTGGTTCTAAAATAAATTTAGCAAACAACCACATAGTCTCAGGTATCTCAGTTTCCATGTTTAAACTAGCAAGACAAGTTAAAAGATGGTCGGATTTATTTTAGTGCAAGTCCTAAGTCAAGTAGGATTATAAATCAATTCCTAAACCTAGTAGGATTATGACCAAAACTAGGGTTTTCAAAAGACTTTAAAAATCCGAATCATGCAACCAAATAAAATCTATCAAGTACACATTACAAGCAGACAAAAGGTGCATAAGATCATGAAGTATCAAGCCAAGAACATCAGGATTTCAATTTTAGATTAGGGATCTAAGCAATTCGGATTTCAGGTTCATGCGCATAGAGAAATTAGGGTTTTGACAAATCAATCAATTCAACCATAGAACCAATGAACCAAGCACTCGATTTTAATTTTAAACACAACTAGATAGATCATATTATCATTCTAGAACCAGCCTAGGTCGTGCAATTTGTCAAAGATAGATCAAGAAATTTAAACATCATAGATGCAGGATCATGCGCATAAAAGAACATAAGGGTTTTAGCAAAATTATCAATATGATTCAAACAACCTATGAATCTACCATTCAACCTCAGTGTTATTAACAATCAGATAGTCCATATTAACATGCTAAAACAAATTTAAAACACGAAAACATCCAAGTTATAGCTAGGGTTTTAAGCAAGTCGGATTTCAGGTTCATGTGCAATTAGGGTTTATATCAAAACGATTTCTAAACCTCAGATCTAATCATTTAATTGATCAAACAAACACATAGTCCCATGGTGATCAAGTAATAACAAGAGTTTATCAGATCTATAGCAGCAAGAACGAATTTTAATCAATCAAACAAGATCTATCAAAAACGGATCTAGAGAGAGAAACAAACAATCCGGTTTTATGCAATAGCTATCAAGAGTTTTAAAACATCAATTTACTTGAACTCAAAACACGAAATCTATCAAGGTGAATTCCTAAAGCATTCAACATAATTAACTTGATAAAAATAAGCAAGCAAACGGATCAAAGCAAGCAAAGATTTCGAGTTCATCAATTAGGGTTTTAGGTTAACTTTTGTTCATGAATACAAGTTTGTATCCATGTACATAGTTAGGCTCTTTAGGGCTTTAATTTTATTTCTCAAACATACCAAAACATTATAGTTTTAAGGGGGTCGAAACTCATGTTCAAGAGTTTAAGTTTCATACCTCAAATCTCCTTGTTTTTGAATGGACCTCCATTAGGGCAAAAACCGGTTTGGATCTTTAGGAGAGAGAGAGGTCGAATCACTTTAATCTTTTAGCTAAGGCTTTACACCTGCAAAAGAATAGTTAGCAATGGATTTCTTCTTCAAAATAAAGTAATAAATTAAGGAAGAAATAAGGTGTAAGTCGTTTGAGAAAGAGAGAAGTTTCTAGGGTTTCCCGGATTGGAAAAACAGAAATTTAGCCGCCGTCTTGTTTTGGTGATTCCGGTTGATTCCGATGTCTGATTGACGCGCCGTTTGAACGGTTGGATTCCTCTCTTCAAGAGCTTCAAATTGGTATGTAGATNCTTAGGAGATAAGGATTACAACAATAAAGGGGATGATTATCCTAATCCCATAATGATTAGGATAACTACAACATATGGATAAATACAAAGGGCTGGACGTGTGGATAATGATGAGAGCTTGGCGCCTGGTCTTGGACTGAAGTGAGACTGATGTGGTCTGGTCCATTTCCGGATATGTCCCAACCACCATTTCTCAACAAAAATATGATTTTTTTCTCCTTTTTGGCATTATTACTCTTTTTCTTTGATTTCTCACTAAGTAAACTATTCGCTATCCATTCTTCACAAGGATATCCAAAAAGTCAAAGTTAGTAATTAAATATCCGCGATATGAAAATAATTAAATTCGGATTCCCATATCTGATTCAAGATCTTATATTTGAATAGTGTTTTTATGGGCCAAAAAATAAACGACGACGACGTTAGAGTTTTACATAAACCGTACATAGTATAAGATTATGTCTGGCTTTGGATACAACTGTTTATTATATAAGTTTTCTTAGTGTTCCTCCCTTTGGATTTTCCATATGTAAAGGTAATATTAATTTTGCAAAAAAATCTGATTGAATTCAAGAAAAGAGCTTGCCTTGCTTTGTAATTCACATTAGTTAGTATGTTCCAAAAGTCTTTGATGACCTCTTGTGTAGGCTTTCTCTGGATCAAGTTGTTTGTCCATGTTATTTAGGTGCTATCTTGGTTCTGACATTAGCAGATATATATATCCAGTTCTTTAGGTCCAAATGCTGCAAGAACTTCAAGATGAAGAGAAACCCAAGAAAAGTGAAATGGACTAAAGCATACAGAGCAGCAAATGGAAAAGACATGACTACATGTTTGATTTGTACATAAGTTTTGCTTGTCCATGTGGGTTATCCTGAGAACGCTCACCATCTCCACCTTGTGTGTTCTCTGTTTCTTTTCCCTCAAAAGGGTAAAACATTTGAGTTTGAGAAGAAGAGAAACAGACCTGATAAATGTGACAGGAACGTAACACAGAATACAGTAGCTGCCATTAAGAAGATTGATAAGATCAGAAACACAAGAGAAAAGCCAAGCATATCAATTATCAAAAGGAGGTATATATAATAATATATATCTTCCTTCTTTCTTCTAATCGCATACAAATCTTTTGAAAACACTACTTGCATGAATCTGAATTAGACTTGTATTTTTGATAACGAATGCTTTTTCTGTTTTCTTTTTCTTTCTTGTGCGGTACTTAGTTTGAACTTTGAAGCCAAACAAACATAATACACAATGAGGATATAAAGGTGCTAAATAATGATATCGTAATGATTTATGGACCAATTAGTGCTCCCGAATATGATTCAGAGAAATCAAAATTAATGTTTACAAAAACAAGTACGTTCAAAATGAAGCCATGAAAGAGTGATTTTGCTCTAAAGCTTTCTTTAGATTTGCTCGGGCCATTCATAATCAATGTATTATTAATTAATTTATTATTATAATGAGTAAGACACATAAAATTATTATAACAGTCCATATCAAAACGCACAAGTTCACCAGCGTTGGCGAACTAATATTGATGATAAAAGAGAACTTTCAAAGCTGATAGGGGCAATGAGGTTGGTTTTCAACCAAAGCTGCATCCCTCTGAGAGTCAGGCTTGAACCTTAAAGTGGCTTCATCACACACATAGTTCATCTTTCCGCTCGATCCATATGTGCAATCCGGAAAAAGCAACCTCAATCCGAACCGCACTTCACCTCTTGCCTTAATGTCCTCAACAATATTTTTCATAATCGCACCGTCCATATCTCCCTCGGAAGCAGTCAATGAAACTTGAAGCACCATAGGCATTAACCATTTAAGAGTGTAACTGATCACTCACAAAAAGAGTTAATCTTAATTAGTTTTCCGAGACAATTATATGTCACAAAACTTCTTAAAAGTGTCACAAAGAAGATAAATAGATCTACAAGTAAAAAATGGAGTATATATATAATTCAGAGTTTGTACCTCTCTATTGGTGAAGTAGCGATGGTTACACCGTTGTAAGCTATGAAAGCCTTAAAATATCCTATGAGACACACATAGGGACCAGGAAGTCTGGGAGGGATTCTTATCAATAAATCCCATTTTACACTAAGACGAGTCTCGGTCATATTAAGCACGGTGAAATCCAAAGAAGGTATTGTAACATCATACAATGGATTTACTTCTTCTTCTTCCTCTGCTAGTTTTCCAATATTTTTACAAAAGATGACGAGAGCGGCTAAGGCCAACAACACGACGACTAGGCAGAAGAAGAACTGCCCAGTGTCATTTCGTGTGCGCTCACTCTGTTGAGAGGTGTCATTTTGTGTGCGCTCACTCTGTTGAGAGGTGGGAATGGGTATTAGTGCTTCGTTTTCCATGTTGTAAGAAAGGGAGAGAGAAACTTGTGTGTATAAATGAAATGTAAATAACTTAATTTATAAGGTTAGTATATATACAGCTGTAAATACCAAATAACTTCTTTCTTTAAAACTATTTTGATATTGATAAGCACGTATCTTTTCAAGATAAACTTTCCTTTTACATGAATAATTCCACAGTTTAACATCCAGACCAACTGTTCTATATACGATCTTTTTTTTTCTCAATTTTCTTTATAATCAATAATGAATTATTCTTGGAGTGAACCTCTAAGTTCACTAACCAATAGAATGTTGTTATTTCATATTTGATATCTATTTTAAAAACAAATAAAATTTGTTAATTTACATTATGTTTTTTGAAAAAAATACAAAATAAATAAAAAATAATAATATTTACAAAAAACAAAAAAATCATTAAAAAAAATTAACTCTAAAATACTAAACCCTAATCCCCAATCCTAAACCTTTGAGTAAATTATAAACCCTTTGAAAAAATCTTAAACATTAAATCAAAAAATTAATACTAACCAACTATACTGTTTTATTTTTATTTTATAAACATAATATAATGTAACAATATTTTGTTTTCATTTTAAATATATATTAAATTATTTTTTTTAAATTGTTTTTGCAATTATTACTGTTTTTTATTTTATTTTTATCTTTTTATTTTAAAAATATAATATAATGTTAAAATATTTTTTAAGATTTTTTTCGTTTTTTGTAAATATTATTATTTTTATTTATTTTCTCTATTTTTATTTAAAAATATAATATTAACAAGATTTTGTTTCCTTTTTAAAAAAAAATATCAGATATGAAATAACAATATCTTATTGGTTGGTGAATCTAGATGTTCAATCTAAGGGATGAACCCAAGAATAAGTCATAAATAATTCTATGATATATAGAGTGTTGTGTTTTATGGGTATATCTCTCTGATATATCTACATTATTGAGAGAAAAAAAAAAGACGACAAAAATACGGACTAAATAGTCCAAAAAGAAAAAAAATACGAAAATGCTTAAAGATAATATTTAAATTATATTACAGACAAATATAAAAATTCATAGCATAAATTATATCTGTGTCTCTCTATCATAATATTTCGAGTAAAGTTAAGCATATCAAACAGAATAAAAGCCATGGAACCGTAAAAGAACATCAATAATCTTCTGATCTTCACTCATCAAATTGATAAGACTGTCTCTCTCTTCTCTTGCTTTTGGTCTCACTTTTCTGTGTTCTCTATTATAGTTTATAATTCAGAAAAGTCGAATAAACCTAGCTAGCTACTTCTTCGATCGATGTTGATTTCTGTCCTTATTACAACCAACCAACGAAGATAGTACGCAAAAAAAAACTGCACAAGACTAGAAGCCATGCGAGATCTCCAATCCCCTCGTCTCCAACTCTTGTTTCGTACTCTATTCGTCATCAGTTTAGCCACTCTTCTGATGATCCATGCGTTTGCATTACAAAGCAAAAGCGAAGCTGAAACCGCAAAAGACGTACAACAACATCAAGATGGACCAAGACATGGCGATCTTAGCTACGATCAGCGGCGGAGCCACGTTAAGGGGACGGGGGTCACTTGACCCCTATAAAATCTATCAAATTTAAGTTTTAGGCCTATTTCCTGTGTAATTATTGTGGTGTAATGGTTAAAATGCCTCCTTTTGACCCCCCTATGTCATGAGTTCAAACCTCTAACATGTCTTTTTAGCTACAATAAATTTTTTATGACCCCTATAAAATCAAAGGCTAGCTCCGCCACTGGCTACGATGGCAGCAAAAGAACAGTGCCTCGTGGACCTGACCCTATACACAACAGGTTTTGTTTTAGTTTCATTTAGCACTTTCAGTCAAAACATCCTTGCATGTCTATGTATGTTATTCTTTTCATCTGATATAGCTGCTGATAGTTCTATTTAAGTTAGATTAGCAACATCATTGAAATTATATTTAAAAATAATTAAAGCAAGTTAATTTATTCTTGATGAATCTGTGTATCTAGATTTACACATCATATCTATACGAATTTCTTTTTTGACACCATGTACTTACTTCTAGCAGAATTCTACTATAAAAATGAACACTTTGTTTCTTTTAGCTAACTCAGATTCGGCGAGACATATAACAGAGGTTCGCAAAAAGGCTGTCTGTTCAGTCTATACGTTTAACAATCTTGTTTTTAACTACTCACTATAAGACAGCTTCTTCTAAAAACTTTATCTTTCCCTTTATGGAAGCTTTAGCCCTCCTCCTTTTCTTTCACCTCATTTCTTAGTTACAAAGACAACCCACTTAATTAAGACCTCAATTCTTCATCTTGATAAATAATGTATTTTACAGTTAGTTCCACCAACTGTATTAGCGTAGTCAATTGATGAAACTATGAATTAATTAACGTTGTAGATTTGTTATCGGTTATATATAAGTATAGAAAATAAATAGAAGATTTGGATTAAGCAAGTTATCTATTGCTTTTCAATATTAAATCAATCTTCTGTATACAGAAGAGCGGGAAATTCAAGACGAGCATAAGTACAGTGAAAGCTTGGCCAAGAAGCAGAGAGAAAAAAAGATATATTTGGCAAATAGATCTTGTAATGCTGCTAGATTCTCCTTTCATTTGGGATCGAATCTCTTAAATATGCTCAAAATATTTGTGACCTTACACTTATATTTATCTTTTAATGTTTTGTTACCTTTATATTTTATTTATTGATTTTCGATATATTTTCTCTTATACATCTTTGTTTGTTAGAGGAGGTGAAAAAACTCTATGTAATTAATTATAGTAAAATTATAATTTATTTTTAAAAGGGATACCATGAATAAAGAAGAAAAATAGGTTCATGAAAAATAGGTTTTTAAAAAAGAAGAGAGAAGAAAATGTGTTCATTCAATCCTGTTTTCTCAATTGCATTGGTTTCCTTCTATTGTTACGTTTAGATCCTTCATCCTTCATTCCTTTTTTTCCTCACATTGTACGTGGGTAATTGCAGTATATGATGACGATCATCTAACGAATCATGCATGTTTTAAAATAAATAACAAAACCCTAATTTTTCTAGATAACCCTAATTTTATTCACATTATCTATCTATTATTATAAAGTAGAGTTCCCTCTTTTTAGGGTCCTCCACGTCACTAAATCCTCTCTTTCTAGCATGACACGTGTCCATACTTTGTTTATTTTTAACTTTTCGTTCTGCTTCTGTTTGGGTTTAAGGGGATTAACTGAACGAGCTTAAAACGGTTGTTAATTGCTGATGGAATCATTATCAAAGCCCCATAGTCACACTTCGTTTTCAATATCGTGATCTTTGATTGTTACGGCTCACCGACCAAAAATAGGAAAAAGATTATTACGGCTCATGCTGTTCTTCAGCCTCATCTTTGATAAACTGACCTCCGAGTTTTAGAAGGTCTATGGGAAACAAAAATTCATGGCATATCTCCGGATCAAGCTGCCGATAGTGTCGTTTTGTCTGGATTTCTTATTGATGGCAAAGTGAAACTGCAACTGGTACCGGATGCATCCAATAGTTTTCATTAATGGGACAATCTCAAATTGGTCAGGTGGGGACCCTCATTGAATGCATCATCACTCTCTTCTGATCGGTGAATGTCCAGCTATAAAAAGATGAGCTTTCATCCAAGAACATCTTCCTTTCTTTCCTCACAACCTTAAAAAAAATCTTTGAGAATAATGACATATTCTTCTGTCCTCTTTGCTGACTTGAAAGCCGGTAGTTGTAGCATCACCGTCAAAGTCCGTCTACTCAGATTTTAGGAGGCCGAGAACTTGAAAAGAGGCGTTGAGCATGTGGTCCATATTTTGGGAGGTCAGAAGTCGTTCTTAACACTATTTAGATATTTTGGTTTTAATTTGGTGTTGGTATTTGGATCCTCCTATAGATTCCTTTGTCTTTCAAGACTGAAACTGATCTAGACAAGTAGAGCTTCTACCTCATTTTCAACAAAGCTTTCACGTAGTTTAACCTTACACCTCTTAATTCTGTTTTGTTTTTGTTGTGTGCTCATACATGTTTTTCAATCTCTTTGTTGAGATTGGTAGATGATGAGGTTGAATTGACTTTGCTATCGATGCAAATATACTGTTTAGAGAATGGGTAAAGATATTGGAGCTGTCCTCTGTACAAGTTTTTTTCAGTTTTTTTTTACACATCCTACATGTGGTGTGGATCAGTGAGTGAATAAGACTTTTTGTTGCAGATATCTGGTGCAAATGGCGGTTACATACAAATATACAATACTAATGCATCCATTTTTGTCGCAAACTAATTCAGTGGCGACATCCAGCCACACAACTACTGATGATGAGAAGTCCCCAAATTCAAAGAAAGCTCGCAAAGACTAAAATCCAACTACGGACACTTTGAACATCTGCTGGTACGAAGAAGTTCCCAGCAACTAATTCAAACGCACCATTAAATAATGATGTCATCCAGCAACTCTCTATGTCCTGCAAGTTGTTTTCACATAGCTTTTGTTTTCCTTTGAACACTCAGATTTTATCAATTATTTTGTTTTAAGTAATTCACAACCTGATGTTTAAATTTCCCAACTGGTTCGTTCCTCTCTGTTAGTAAATTCTTGCAGAGCACCTAAACTTATTATCATAGCCAAAATTCTGGTTTTAAACGGGCTTCATTTCTGTGAAATCCTTTAAACTAACTTTTGAAGTTTTGATATTGCGGATAGTCTAAAGCATGTGTTCTTGATGTTGGACTCGCAACTCAGGTAAATGAATTGCATTTTGTTGCTTTCTTTGACGAAAATTTGGTTATTTATTATGATTATTTAACTTGAGAAATCTCATTTTTAGAGGAATAAACCGGACGAGTTACAGTAACAGATTTTGTGTTACGTCGGGGTAATCAGAATTGATTACATGATTTATCACCAGCTTGCTCTTAGTCAATAGTACATTAATTAGTCTAATAGTTAGTCTAAATTAATTAATGTGATATATAGGCTATATTTTGTAGTTGGAGTTGACTGAATCTTAGTTGAAGCAGACGTTGAATATCAAATAACTCCAAGTTGAAGTTGGAGTTAGATTGAATATTTTGAATCTAATTTTCCAATGTATAAAACGTGCATGTGTCTCTAATATAAGATTGGATTTTAGACAAGTTATACCGTTTTACCAATGTGAATTTCCTTTAGAGTTGTAATCATGCCACATCTCCCATAGCATGCGGTTCCCTGGGTTGCAGCAAATAAAAAGGCGTCTAAGCTAATGGTGAAATTGGTGAGAAAAAAAAGAGAGCTAATGGTGAAATATAAAGTATAAACACAGAGATTTATGGACTTTGGTGCAGACAGTGAAACTGCAGAGATTGCAATGGTTAGACTAATAGCTACAAGTCCATAACCTTCACATTGGCTACACCATGGTTCAAACTCAACAAGTTCAAACTTCTTGGAGCGGAGTAAATTTCTTGACCTTTTAGATATGTTACACAGATAAAATATCAACTAATTACAACAAGATAAGAAAATAGAATACCAAAAAAAAAACATTGACTCTAAACCAAACTGGCCTTTGGCCTTATTTGATTGTTAGACCGTCGGCGTTATTTTTCATCTGCACCATCCGTATTTGTATGATTTCGTATATTCTAAAATTTTAAAATAGTCTACACATAGTAGAAAAAATCTAAAATAGTCTACACATCTTTTTTTTTAACACTTATAGTTACGAAGGTTTTACATGCTCTATAAACGACTGAGTAAACAACATATTTTCCCCAAAAAGTTATATGTTAAATTTTAGTAATAACTAGAAATAAAAGGTATATTAGATTAAATACAGTTCTATAAAAATGATAAATAATAAAAAACATACAACCGAAAGACTACGTAACCTCATCCCTTTATAATATGTTATATGCCTCTATTTCTTAATATAGATATAACCATCAAAAACAAACATAATAAATCTTCGCATTTTGACCAAAAATAAAAAATAAATCTTCGCATAGATAGTGTTTTTTACGCCCAAACATTAAACAATTATACATTTCTTTTGCAAGTTATAACATAAAACACAATGAAAATATACAACAATATGATTATATGTATCACACATAAAGTATATTCCGCGTGTAGCGCGGATCGATCCTAGTTACTTATATAAAAGTATTACATAAAAAGAAGAGAAAATATTTATGACAATTTTTTTTCTTAAGTTTTGTGTTTTATAATTGTTAACTAAATCTGATTATATTTAAAAAAATATGTATATTCACGAATTTTTTTAATTTTTATCTTATATATAATGCAAAAATATATTGTACAAAACAAATTTGTATCAAATTTTTAAGATTATTTGTATTATTCAAAACAAATGAGATATCCATAAGTATCCGTAAATATCCCCACATATTTATTTATTTTTGGATATCTGTTTTTCTAACAAAACAAATAGAAAAATTATATATTCGTAACATACGAATCAAATCACAAATATTTTTAAATAGTCGAATATCTGATATGTACCAAGACTTAACTCGAATGACCACCCGAAAGAAACTAATATTATGTATTTTATTATTTGTGT